TGAAAAGAAGTGGGAGACAAATGAAAGGAAGTGGGAGACAAGCCAGCTGGGAACCCGACCACAAGCACCCGCCTGGGAGACAAATGAAAAGAACTGGGAGACAAATGAAAAGAAATGGGAGACAAATGAAAGAAAGTGGCACCCAGCCTGGGAGACAAATGAAAAGAACTGGGAGACAAATGAAGGGAAGTCAGAGACAAGCCGGCCAGGAACCCGACCAGACCATCCAGCACCAAGGCGACCATTCTGTAAAGCATTGAGAACCCCTAACAGTAAACTGTTTGGGGAAAAATATGAAAGAAGAGAAACACGCATGGGAAATCCATTCTCCAAGGGTTTAGACTCTTGGTCACCCATCGACCAATTGCACGGGTGAAAACATCGTTGACACCGTTCACTCAGTGGGTCTCAGTGAGAAAACCGGGTCCCACCCTGCACCATGGGCTGAAGTCCCACCCTGCACCGGACGTCCTTGTCACGGCCTCGGCCTCTGCCCTTGCCTTTGCCCCTGGGTTTCTTCTCCTCCTGGGCCGAATGCTGGCCAGCTCTGCATGCGAACGCGAACGCATGGACATAGGAGGTGAGACGTTTGTTCAAGAGCGATGGTTGCCACGGTGGTGCCCTTCGTCGGCATGGTGAAAGCGGTCTTTCGATGGCCAAGATTGCCAAATTGGTCTGGGGCTCATGGGGTCTGGCGCGCCATCCCATTCTCTCTTGAACAAGAGCATGTTTTTTAGTGAGAGCCCTATCCCGGACATGTCGGAATTATCATAATGCATGTATATAGATGTATCTCTGGCGCTCAAGTGGTTTTCAAAGGGGTCAACCCAGTGCAAGTACTTCAGCACCATCAACAAGTCGTATTGAAGAGTTCCCTGAGTTTAGAACACGCCCTGTGGGGATACCAGCGCCCCAGTTGATCAAAACGGATTGGCTTTGGATTGGTGGATTGAAATCTTGACTGATACCCTTTGCCCTTTTGCCATCACACCAATGCTTCACGTCCTGCCTATCCGTCTATCTACATATCTCTACGTCCCTCCATCCATCTATCCAACCCCATCCTTTCATTGTACTACAACCAGGAACATATAGAATATATACTGTAACTACCCCTGTACCCAACTCTACCCATATAGTTTCCGTGGCTCCCAAACCCCCCCATCTCTTTCGTCTCCTCAAAGCCGGGCTCCACCTCCTCCGACGGCCGCTTCCGCAGCGGCCGCCCGCGCAGTGCGGTGGCGGGCGCAGTGGGCACGGGGGCGGTGTCCACCTCCTGCCACACTCCAACGATCAAGAGATAGCCATACAAGAACGCTACTAGGGGCTCCTGGCCTTACTTCTAGGAGCATTCTTACGACTAGTAACAAGAACGCTACGAACGGAGCAAAGGGCATCGCTACGAACGGAGCAAAGGGCATCGCTACGAACGGGGCTCCGATCGCCTTAATACTAGTAACAAAGGACGCTACTAGTAGCAAGGTGCATCGCTATTAGTTATAAGTGGAAAATGTCTTGCGTGGCACGTGAAATGTCATGAGTCTCATCACTTTGAGTGCTGGTGCAGGGTACAAATAGCGCAGTCTCTCCAAGTCATTAAACATGGAAGTGGAGTTCACCACCTGTTTGTAGAGGATGTGGTGTTCATCCCAAAAATCGGTGGCCATGCCATCCCCTTCCATGGTGAATTCAGGGAGAGTATGCGGCTCAAATTAGTGAACCCAGAAAATGGAATTGGGGATGCCGCCTCCAAACCAGTTGCATAAGACTCGGGCATTCCAGAAGTCCCCATGGCTCTTTGAAGCGGGCACAGGATTCTCCCTGGTCCGTCGGACGAGTCTGAGGGAGGATCCCCAAATTCTCCAAGGATTCAGCTGAAGGCATGGACATGTTGGCATGCTCCTGACTGACTTCCTCACCTTCCTTGGGCCGGTCTTTCCACCGTCGCATCGTCGCTAGCGAATCAACCTGCAATTGCAAGACACAAAGCAAATCAGAGATGCTGATCGGGCCTTCAATCTCAAAACCAATCGCATCTTGCCAAACAAAATGCCTCGCAAGTCGTTTTTTGAAAATACAGGGAACCCAAATGTTAGAAGCCAACAAAATATCCAATCCAAGCAGGAAGGAAATCATGAATGCTGATCTGGCCTTCAATGTCAAAGCCACATGCACCTTGCCAAACGAAATATTTTGCATATTGTTCTTTGAAAGCACAGGCAAGCCAAATGTCAGAGGCCAATCCAAGTTCGCACATACCCTAAGGGCCCCTAAGGTCATGGCTCACGCGCCATCACCCGCAGCCCATCAAGCAGTGATACAGCGACTGCACAAACCAGAAAGGATTCCATGTCTGCAGGTGTTGTTTTTCTCTTTTTGAAGAACACAACTGCAAAGTAGCAAGCAAAACGTTTCATCGCAGTAGTCTCGTGTTCAATGATCGCACAAGCACAGCCAAGACGATTTGACAAACATGCTTAAGCATGTCAAAATTTCCACACATATCAACTTTGGCTGCGAAGCTTTCAGGAGCCTTTTTCAGAGTTCAAGGGTTCCAGGGTGGGTTCCAAGGTTCCAAAGATCCAAGGTTCCAGGGTTCCAAAATTCCAGATTTGATTTCATGCGCCGCCCTGCCCCCTCCCCACATGACCCAAATGTCGAGTTCTAGCATTCACCTTTTCAGGGTTCTAGCGTTCACATTTTGAGGGTTCCACGATTCCAAGGTTCCAGGGTTCCAGGGTTCCAGGGTTTCAGGGTTCCAGGGTTCCAGGGTTCCAATGTTCCGGTTCCCGATTTTGGGCTCCGCAGTCGGAGGGGGCACCACTCCCAGACCTGGAGATTGAAACCCAACAGTCATACTGCTGTTGGGAACAAGTTGCATCAAAACTGTTATGAAGGGTGTCCCGTTCTTTTCGCCTTGCCACGCTCCGCCGTCTCCACCAGCAAGAACTTCTCAGCCGATCCTGACGGGCACGTTTGTTCGATTAGGGCGAGGCGCCTGACATGCTGAAACCGCCCCCAGGCAGATTCTGATTTACAAGGCACCTGCAAAGTAAATCTAAGTTCCGAAAAGGAATGCTAAAAATGGTCTCAAAAACCAAGTTCCTCTGCTACTCCATGACTGGCTGTGTGCTCTCTGCGAGGAAGTGGGAGATCGCCCACGGAATCTGGATCGAGCCGTTGGCGAAGACCTTTTCCCTTTGTTCCAAGACCAATGTCAATAATGTCAATAATGTCCAAGGAGGAGTCTATCAGATCAGGAGGCCGACTAGGGGTGGAAGCTTCTGGTCGTGATTTCTCTTTCCCAGCATCAACCCAACTCTGCATCTCCCTGCCACGTCCTCCGCAGAGGCGTCGTACCACCGCGGCACCCAGCACCAGCAGGGCACCCAGTAGGAGCAGCAGCACCGCCGGCGGCATGGCATCGAAGTGTGCTCCCGTGGGTCACGCACTTCGAATAGACGATATCGATCATTTCCGAAATAACATACATTCATACTGCTATATATCCATGACTAGTATGTGCATATACGCCGAGGTAGATCACTGCAACCTATTACAGTACTATGACTTGACCTACGATTGACGGCAACCGATGTATGTCACCAAGATCCTCTCGAGGCAACTTGCTGGGCGCTCTCGCCCGCCGTCCGTCGAGCCCAGACCAGCTCCCCCGTGAAGGGCCCCAGTGCCGAGGAGGTCGGCGTCTCGTGGGAACCGCCCTTTGAACGTGGCGTTCAAACGACTGTAGAAGGAGTTCCCGTGGGAGTTAGACCAGGTCAACCATTCCCACTCAGTCCAACACCAAAGTTTAACGATGTCGTTTACATAAAGACAAGTCTTTACTTAACAACAACCTTTCACTCCATCCCTTCCACCAACAGCCCCAGCAAGACGGCAGCCAGCAGCAGCCAGTGGCTGCTGACATGATCATCAAGTGCGCCTGCCTTTTGTCTGCAGGGTTATCTGCAAGCGCGTCTCCGGTTGATTTCATTCAACCGTTTCATATGGGAACGCATGGCTACCAATCTATATGGAGCCTTTTTGGCAATGCTCCGAGCAAGATCCCTCCGATCACTCAGCTGGCAGATTCCTTGGGGTTCAGGTCTTAAATCATGAATTAAGTCAAGGGTACACGAAACTATATGTTTCAGATCCAGATAATTCAGTTGAGATGCGTTTGCACCATTTCATCTGGTCTTCGTCTATGAAGGTATGCTCAAATCTAGGCGAGTAGCCTTAAGGAAAGTGCATGGGGCGATGTCAAGACTCAATTATTGCACACTTGAAACTAATCAGCTAAGGGACGACGGCGGTAGCAGTCGATCAACTGATGGTGAAATTTCTTAGCGCCCACTCACAAACACAGCAGCATCAGCATGTAGCTTGTCAGATCTACACGGGCACCTGGCCTACCTGCAGGTGCATTCCAAGTATCGTGGATTTTGGGTTTACCCAACCAGAAGAGGAGATTGTGCCTCCAAGGCTTTCAATATGCACTTAAAGGTAAAAATCACAACGGTAGTCACATCAATTTCCATGGTTGTGCCTTTGGCTCATTGCTGTGAGTAGCCGATGTGTTCGAAGGAATTTCATCCCATAAGAATAGAGCGATTCAGCCTCTGATCTAGACCTCTGTTCAGATACCAAGGTCTATAAAGCAAGAGCAGATGTATATTGTAGGATTCAAGCGTGCTGCCATGTTGCAGGTACCGCCCTGCCGACTCCATAGACAAAAAGAATCGATTCAGTGCATCCCTCAGATCTGTGCATGAAAGAGCAGCACTGGGCCCTGGGAAAAAGAGGTACACTAACAGATCCAATACTGTAATATATATATATATATGTATAGTTTTTTCTTTCCACCCCAATGAAAAAATCATTTCAATCCAGCTGGGGTGCATGCAAACAGCGGAGGGCTCCAACATGTCATGTTTGGGCCAAGTCCCCTCATGGGTTTCAACTCTTGATTGAATCCATGCTCCACAGAACCGGCTGGCAGGCACAGCTCTATTTAATGCAATGTTCAGGCAACTAGAAAGCCACGCTAGGATCACTCGAGAGCAATAGCCCTTGCAGTTCATAGAAGCCCCAGAACTTGTAGACCAAACCTAGGATTACAAGAGTGACTTTATACGACTAGATCTATAATGTCATGATGCACGTCAACAGGCCAAGAAACGGTTGATTCTCTGAACAATTGCTGTCCACATTTAACTTTGTTGAGACGACACCAAATCCTGAAGTCCTTGTACGCAACCGCAAGGCATTGGCGGAGCGTTAAGGCCTCCACATCACCAAAGAAGCCAAGGTCAATGAGCAATAGCCTCGGCCAAGTGCCAAGTGCCCTTAAATATATATATATATATATATATATATTTATATGGTCCGGTTTCAAACAAGTATATATAATATACATACGGGAATCCAAGCCAATCAAAAACATTAGCACTGGCCCGATCAAGATTCAATGAGCTTCCGTTTGCAGTAGCCAGAATCCCCAAGTTGACATTGTGTAAGCTACAGTGTCGTAGCATCCCATAGGTGAAGTGGGGCAGGAGCAACAATGGGCCTGGGTCCCTTTCGCATCCCACCCAAAAAAGAGCTCAATCTATGTGTAAACCTATTGACTTTTGGGGAAAACATGAACATCTTCCACATCTAAGTCTGGGTGTTTGGGATGACTTGGAGAAACCATGGTGGCAATGAACTGCAACTCTGTTTTTTCTGTCCGTGCCCATCCTGGATCATCAGATAGGTCCCAGTATGTAGTGTCTTCATCGTTTTTGCTTGCATCACATCTCCAACAAAAGTTGATCGCTCGCCACGATCGTAACAACCCAAGAGAGTAAACATGCCACTCCCAGTCGCCCCGAAGCTCCACTACGCTGAAATGCATGGTCTTGCCTTCGATCATGATGCCTTTGTAGCACCGCTGCAAAGATCTCACTATGGCCGCAAAGAGAGGGTTGAGAGATTCAGGCCCCAAACACTCATCATTCTCTAATGAGAAAAGTAACCACCTGGACATTCTAGATGACTTCGGTGTCCAAAGGACCAGGTTGATAAAATACCCAATGATTTTCTGTCCCAGAGGTGAATATTTTGCTGCATCTCCATATAGTCCCAATGGTTGATGGTGGCCAGGTGACACATCTTTCCATGGACAATTAAATGTTCTTGCATGGTCCCAAAACTTCTCCACAGCTTCATCCTCGACGACCAGATTGAGGGGCCCCATCAAAAATGTCAGAATAGTTTCTTGGAGGAATACCGGCACCTTGCGGGTTACTTTGGTCACATCGTCGCCTGAAAGCTTTGATTTCACAGGAGTTTCCACAAAAATTGGGTCCTGTCAGGGCCAGGGTTAAGCCACTCTATGACTATCCGAATCAGGTTCAAGTACATGTACATTAAACCATATTAATCCTTTTGCCACCCAGTCCAAAGACTTGAACTGTAGAGCACGTCGAAAGTCGCGGGCACGATTGTGAACGCTGTAGCTGCCTAGCTTGCGTATCATCTCAGGTAACCCTTGAGGAGTGTCCTTAGATCTAGATCTATCTAGCTCTGTAAATCGCAGGGTTTCACACCTGCAAGGTTGGTTGACATGTGCCAAGTGGCTTTGACCCGTGCGTTGAGGTCAGACATCTTCTCCTCAATGGAGGCCTGGGACTGGGATATTTTTCTTGGTGGGGGTATGAGATCAACGTTCCGATTCCCGCAAAAACATTTCAGCATGCAATGCAATGACTAGGCAGCCAACCCCTGCAGCCACTGAATCAAGCACATGGTTGAGCTGGTGTTGTCGATCTTGATCATCAGCAACTTCACCTGCGCTGGTTGAGCATGAACGTACAAGGGCATTTCTGGTACATGTACATGTGAAGAACCAGGTGCATCAGCAAATCGCGAAGGTGCACCTCTTTGTTTTGCTCCGATGCATTTGAGCTAGTTTGTCATATGCCATATGCCCCTACTTCATGAACAACCCCCGCCTCTGCCACGTGTCAAGTGTCTATCGGGAATATATATATATATATATATTGTTTCTGAGCTAGTTCAGACCTGAACTACTGTTGACTGGCACGTGGTCTAGGAGGTGGTCAGGGAAGTCACGATCATGATCAGCTGTTTCGCCAAAACCACAAGGATGAACACATTTATTTAGATCCATGGCGACCACAAAACTGCTGATCTTCCACTAGAAACTAATCGGATGTTTTCCGCTTTTTCCCACTCAGTGGCTCCATGACTGTGTCTGCAAGCTCGTTCAGGTTTTTGCTGCGCTGGGTGATCTTCTCCATCTCTGGTACCTGCCCACAACGTATATGATCTAGATCATCCTATATATTTTATACATTCAGTGCGATCTGAAGCAGCTTCAACTCAGAGTGAAAAACCTTGTGGCCCAAGTCCTACAAGGATCACCAGTAGATCCAACAAACGATTTTGTACATGAACATACAGCTAATCCCCACTGACACATCACACAGTCGGTCACCTCAACGCCAGATTCCAATGCAGTCTGGAGTTCGGTTCGTCCAGACCCCAGCTTTTTGAGCAGATCCTCAATGTCCTTCTCAAGGGCTGCCCGCACATTCTTGGACCTGGTCATGGGATGAGTGAAGCAATTAAATTACACAGGCCAGCTCTGAAATCCCTGTATCGTGCTAGATCATGCGCATGACTGTTGGGGCCAACACCATTGGGAAGCTTTGTTCTTGATCTCATGAGCCTTTTTGATCTTTGAAGTCATCGCTGAAAGGACCTCCACAAGAGATTGGAATTTGAAGATCAGTTT